AGTCGAACTTCCATTCTTACAACATCAGGTAGTTAATGCAGTTCATGGGCCAAACGGAGAAGGCTACGGATGCTGCGTTGTCACCTATGAGGACTAAGACGGGATGTCACACAGTATAATTTTAGTAAATAAATAATTTTACTGGCTCTCTATACCCTTCAAACCGGTAAAAATCAGTGCAAAATCTACTGCTTAGCGGTAAGAATAGGTAAACTCCTAGGTAGAATAGAAACTTCCTACGTAAAAAATTCAATTGAACTCAATGGAAAGCATATTATAACTAGGTGATTGTAATCATTTTGACTTTATTAAATCCACAGTTCACTTTTGAAGAATGTGTTTTCTTGGACAGATTTGTAGAAACTTAACCTGTTTATTGAAGAATCATAAATTTTGTTAGTTTTTTTTTTATAGAATAGGGGTGTCATTAGAACACCGTCCGCCTGATGGTAATTGGATGCTGTGGCCCACAGACACCTATATCAGTCCTTGATTTAATTATAAAATATTATGTGATTTTACCCCTGAAGGCCAAATAGAATATTATATAATTAAATATATATATCAATATCATTAAATAATGTTATCAGTAAAAAAAGATCTCCAGTTTCTATACTAACGCTGGTGTTTTTTTTTTCAGTTCCTTGGAGATTATGGCTCTTTCCCAGTCGTTTCTAACGTTACGTAACGTTTACTTTAGCAAATATAAGCCTCTTAAGTTGAAATAATATCTATTTATGGGAAAGGCCATCACCATTTTATGGCTTCCGATAAATTTCAGTAAAACAATCTCGTTAAAGTCTAACACAAAATACGCAGAGCGGCACGTGCAGCTGCGTCAAAGGTGCAAGAGATTTTTGGCACCCAATCTCTAATTCGCCTGCCAAGCGCGACGATTATCTTCCCTTTAACGAAAAAGGCTTGCGTCCAGTAATAGGATTTTACGGACCGATAAATAAAGGAAAAAACGCCAACCGAGACGAAGAAGTAATATTATGATTACGATTCTTTATTTTCTCAAAAATTCGAAAGTATGAGCAACATATTAGATAGCATCAAGATTTTTAAAAGAACCGTAGAGCAAACATATCCGGTAATTGCTGTATAGATTTCTTTCTCCTCCATGTCTGCCTAATTTAGAAGGTAGAATTCACTACAATTCCAATGCTAAGAAGTTAAATTTGCGTTCGCATAGGTAAGCAAATGACAACATTGTCGCCTGCTTTCTGGTCCAGGTATTTTACTTCAGGTTAAAATTTTATATGATTATAAAAGTCAAAAAGTAATGTTATTGTAGCTATGAGATGACGGCAAGTGCTTAGCCTGAGAGAATGACGATAACATTATCCATTTGAGATCATAGCTTTATCTCGTTTATTTCCTAATTATGTAATTCATATATATATATATATATATGGTGCAAACCATTAGATGGTGAAATGGAGAGTTACGGTTTACACGACACTTTATTTTACAAAATTTGGAAAAATGTTTTTACGTGAAAAATGATGGGATACCCATAAAACGAAAGTAGGATAATTTTGGATAGTACATATTTTAGAATTTTACAAAATCTGTTATATAAGTGTTATTTTTATATTAAAGTATCAATCCTTTAAAATTCATTTTTTAAATGGTGAACCAATAAAACAGTATATGAGAATTTAGTTGAAAACTAAGAAATACCAGTTTTAGGGTTTTAGTATGGTACAATTAAGGATGAAAGGTTGATGAAAATTATATCATGTTTTATTTGTATCTTTGATTACACTATTATAAGCTTTATTAGTAATAGAGATACATATATTTTTGTATACTTAGAAAATTGTAGATTATTTTAATGTGATTTTAAACAATCAATTAATCTATATATATATATAATCTTTATTTTACCAAAATATATTGAAACGAAAACAAAATGAAATGAGTAAAGAAGAAACTAAATGGTGGTCTTATCGCTCTGGGAACGATTTCTTCCAGACAAGCTTATTACGCAAAGAATTTACAACGAATGAGTTAGAATACATAAATTAGAATATTATGTTAAAGAACACAAGAAGATGAAAGTTGAGGAAAGCAGGATAGATAAAAGAATTGAGCACGATGAATACGTAGTGGCAAAGCTCCATATGCGTACAGCTGTAACAGAAAATAATTTATTGAAGGAGGATGAACGTACTGAAGTAAGAAGTGATGATTGTTATAGTCATTTTAGCTAATCGAAAGTGTACTTAAAATCTGCGATTATTATACATAAATAATCTATGTAATCTACGGTCGGTACGGTCGGTCGGTCGGTGTATGCGGAATACTCATACCGATCCCAAGGAACCTTACCCGTAGGGCATACAGGTGACTGACAGACACGCGCTATATATATACACTCACACACACAGACACGCGCTCGCATACTCATATATATTTACTCATTCACATCTATGTACACACACACACATATTATACTAAGCATACATACACATTCACTAACGCACATTTATACTAACGTGCATGCTTACATGAACATTGTCACGTCGCCACTAGAGCTGCAATTTAAATTTAAATTTAAATTAAACCAAACCATTATGTATGTTAACAATTCTAACCTTCGAGATAAAATATAGTTTACATGGTCTTATTTGCCAACTGTAAAAGGACATAGCGAGTTATTCCCAACACAAGTGTCTACGACTACTTAAAGAGAAAACCCAACAAATCCTTGAAATCAGACTCTTGAAAATAAAGGAATTTATTATATATTATATAAGATATTTTTTATTCTTTCCACTGGGAAGCTAGTTGTGTGGACCTTTCGGGTCACACCTAGATCCCTTTTTTATTTATTTAGAAAGATTAGATTACTTATAAGATATATTTTATACGATAGCTGAGTCTCCGTACCGAGAGTTTTTTCAACACGCTCCATCCCATGTTCAACGCTGGCCATAGACAACTCATCTGATCGTTACTTTATTTTGTGGGTGGTGCCATTACGAGGCTGCCTCTCGAGAACCTTTCTTTCCAATCGGTAAACGGTCTTTCGAACTATAATGCTGACCTATTGCAATTTTAACCTACTTTTTCGCTTAAGCACTTCTAACTGTTATCTCGGTCATGTAATTTATACCGTTGCCCTAGCTACCGATTGCTTCATAGCTGGGATATTTGCTATAGTTGCTACGCTTGCCAAGCTGGTTGGCAACAGCAGATTTATTGTTTAGTTCTTATTAGGAAGACGCTGCTACCTATTTCTTGATTTGTTCGTCGCCTCGAACGATACTTACGGGATGATAATGGGTATATATACGGTAAACATAGGATTTTTATTGCATATGAATTTCTAGCATAGTCCTTGCCACCGCTTCTTAAATGACTTCGAGCTTCCCCATAAGGCCAGCAGTGAAGAACCGCGTCATACCGCATTGATATGAACAATTTTATATTAAAGTCTACACACAACTTCATTTACGTGGAAAATCCATGCTACAGCTATATTAGTAGTAGGTATAGTTGTAGCACGAATGGGCCGGCTCGACCGGGGAAGGACCACGCTCTCGCAGAATACCAGCGTAAAATAGCAGCTTAATGTTGCTGTGTTTCGTATGGTGAGTGTAGAGAACTGGAGACCCCTTTTACGTGAAACGAGGTATTATATCTTGGTCCTAATGGGTGACAATGCGTCTACATTTTGATTTGTAATCGATGAATGGTGTAGGTGTCAATAAGCCACAGCAACTACTTACCATCAGGTGGACTATGTGCCCTTTTATTACACTTATCCTATAAAAAAAGTACTTGCAGATATTTGCAGATGCCACTTGGCTTGGTCGAGGTAATAGTCATAACAATAATTAAAATTATACAATATTAATGTACACTGTTCTGTTCCATAGCGTCGATCTTTACAATTAGTTAAGATTTTGATCTTGAAGTGCACAACACATTTGAAAACTGTGATGGACGTTGTGTTCTTACTGTTATCTCACCACAGTAGGTAGAAAATCAAAATAAATAACAGCTAGTAAGATAATTGAGTTTTAAGATAAATTTCTACAAATACTACAAACGTATCTTACAAGAAATATATCAACAGTATTGTCTTGACCCTTTCATTTAAAGAGTGCTGAACAATGATATGTTACGAGTATGTTTGTTATCGAAGTTAGTTTATAATAGAAGACACGAAGCAGAAGTTCAATATTTAAATTATATGCGATAAAATATTTCGTCTTTTTTTTAACTAACACTATATAAATATGATAATATGAATAAACATTAAAATATAGGCATTGTGCAAGCTAATTTATATACTATGATGTGCTTAATTTTAATACTAAATAAAGCGTTAATATGTGTAGGTGCTGTGTATTCTCGATAAAGTTGATGGATTCTAACTATAAAATTGTAATAAAAATATAAAACATGTCTGTGATACCGCAAAACCATAGTGTCAGTATCTTACTCTTCCCAAAAAATTCAAACGGTATGATGAATTGATGATTTGACATTCAAAGCCCAATCTGCAATTGCCAATATGTGCGCAATAATGCGATAACATATATTCTTGAGAGTAATAATGTTTGAGACACACAATTTGTACGTGAAACCCATGTCTGTATCGTGGGAAATATCAAGGTCGTGAAGGAAAGGTCAACCGTGATCATTTCTCGAAGCTACAGGGACGACACATTCGCCAGCTAAGATAATAGCTATCATTAAACGCTCGACTGTACAATCGTAGGAGTGAAATTAGTGACTGTAGCGCACTAATAGCTACAATAGCAGTGCTAAAAAATAATAATCTAATTAAGAATGGAGCTATAAACATGCAAGAAAATAAAACTAAAGTTATGTTTTGTGATATAGCCCAAATAGATTAATATATTTGTTCTCAATGTAATTAATATGCAGAATATAAGCAAACTGATTGCACATATTCCAAACAAGTTACATTAGTTGTAGATTGTACGTCGATGGTGGCAATAGTGCAGATGCAATTATCATTATCCAACCGTTCTAACGTAGTTAACAGTATCTCCTGTTGCTTCAGTGAACGCACGTCTCAGGCGAGCTCGGCGAGTCTGCGACAGGGTTTGTGGGCAGAGTAGCAGCCCCTGTTGGGTAAAGAAATCAAATCAAAGATTCAGATTTGATTTTTATTCTACGTAAAATACGCCGTCAAGATACCTTACACAGCACATACACGCTGACTCTTAAGCCTTTTTTATTTCTTGTTCTGCAAAAGTTTAAAATATGCAATGAAAACTAAATAAAAAGAAGTTGATAAGTAAACAACTTACAACGTGAAGCATAACGCTAAAATTTACATAAGGCTTATTATTTTATTTTGTATTTTATTAAAATTAAAATATTATATCATATTATATATATTATAAATATTATATTATATTGAAGGATATAACACAAATGTGAAAAGTAAATATAATACAACCGCATGTTTAAAATGTGGGCAGTGCGTTAAAATTTACGAAGAAAATATATTTGTTGCAATTATGTACATCATACCTATCTAGTATTAAATTTTATAAAATCAATTTATTATACCAATGAAAGACTCGTTTACGGTGGTTCTCTTTAGAAGAGCTCTCATACGAAATAAATACATTATATTATATAACACCAAAATTAATTAGAAATTGAGTTAGAGTTATAATATATACTCATTTTGTGGAATTTTATAATATATATTTATATATTTTTCTTAGATTGAATTATTCATTTTAATTACAAAAGGCTTAAATTATTTGATAAAAATACAAACAAATAATGTGAAGTCAAACTAAAGAAACACACTTATGTATGAGCGCCATCTACTAGTCATTGTACTTACCTGCTTGAAAGGTCGCATCCCTCCATTTATTCTCAATGAATCAGCTGCTATACCGGCAATACCGTCGCCTGGTTCCCTCAGTTGTCGCAAGGAGGCGCTAGGATGATGGTGTACATGATGAGGGCACTGTGTTACGCATGCGCTTGACTCCGGCTGCGAGCTTTGTCGGATAATTCTCGCACTAGTAGTAGGTAGTAATAGAGCTGGAGGTTGCATAACCGGACAGGTATTTACAGCGTGTAGGGAACTACAACCGCAGTTGTAATGAAAAACGGAACGAACACTCTCTCTTGAAACAGATCGCGCTAGCTGTAGTGCCGAAACTGGTGCCGCAGATTGTCTACGTTCGCAAACACGACATCTTGTATAGCTTTGAGGTACTAGCGGATATGCTGTTACAGATCCTCTGTGAGTGCCAGTTGCTACGGGCGATATAAGCGTTTGCGGGCGGTCCGGTGGATCTCGGCATTGTAATTCTATATCTGGAACACTTCTTGCTGAATTATCATCAAATCTGACGGACGTTGCACTTTCTTCACTGCCCGGTTCACCCGATAATTGAGGCCGCAAATTAGTAGTACAATCTTGCCGTTGTAAAATCGGTTTCACTGTTCTGTTTTCAGTAGGTACTATAACTGTCACTGCTGGTGCTGAAACTAGAAGACTTGCCGTCTCATCACTGCTGCAATAGCCAGAATTGGTAATTGCTTCTGTACTGTCATTTGTGTGTGCTGCCATTTTGCAAAGTCTGGAACAAGAATGAAAGTGTAAATTAATAACTTAGATAATTTTAAAAATAGATTCACTCAAGTATGTAGGAATTTTTTGAGAATATTCAAATAAATATATGTTATAATTTGTTTGAGTGATCTAAAGTCGAATAAATTGTGTCTACATAATTATTTCTTTATTGTTAGAAGTTTACATGTACTTTTAAGATTATATTTAATAGGTAAGTTATAGATTTAGAAATATAAGGAATATAATATTTTGTGTTTCTTATTTTTAATTAAGGATCTGACTCATCATTCCGATATTTAGGTATTTTCAACATAAATCTGGACATAACCGAATATGCTTGGCGTGCTCAGCAGAGCGGGACAGTATTTCATGCCGGCATGTCGCCTGCAACTTTACAAGGCGCAGGTTCGGTCTCACATGGGATACTGTTCTCATTCCACTGGACCGCATCCAGCGCAGAGCGGCTCGAATCATAGAATATTATAATAGTGTAGCCACTAAAATGTCACCAACACGTCAATTCACACGTATAAATGACAACACGAGATGTGTTTTGACGTTACAATCGTTTCCAAATTTTCCATGTAAATTATTTAGAAAATGCCAAATTACACTCTATTTACAAATAAATATGTATTAAAATCTGTACTATCTTTAATACATCGATTACGGGTTATGTATACTGATAATACGTCATTATTGCTTGTATGTGTGCTCCCGGCGACGCCTATCGTCGAACAAAATAAGGTTGACAGCAATTCTATTGTGTATTATAGTTTTCTATGGCTCGAATCGTCGACGACCGAATGCTTGCCGATTGGCTCGATTCACTGGCGCTGCGAAGAGATGTTGCATCTCTTTGCGTATTTTATCCTATCTACCACGGGGAGTGCTCTAAGGAATTGTTCGGATTAATACAAACCACCAAAATTCATGAAGGCACTACGCGGAAAACCTCCTCATACCATCCACACCATCTGGATGCTTGGCGGTATACCACTGTATACATAAGTGCATGTGTATACACAAGCGCTCGATGTAAATTTCACAGCACGCGAAAAATCTGGGTTCGATCCCAGCCGGCACCAATGAAACTGTTAATTTCAATTTTATATGCTGATTTACCACGTCAGCAGTAAAAAAAAAACATCGTAGGGTAACCTGCACGTTTGTAAAATAATAACAAAAAAACGACGTGTTGCATGGGGCAGTGCGGCGGATATTTCATTGCCCTAAAATCCTCCCAGAAATGGGAGGATGCCTGTGCCCATCAGTAGGACGTATATAGACTGTAGTTTTAAACAATAAGAAAAAGCTAAAAATTAAGCATCAAATTAAGAAATAAATAGTCAGTAGTTCAAAGAAGCACCGAAACTAATAAATAATATGAATTGTAAATATCTTATTTCGGCTAACACAATATACTTAATAAAGTTCTATAATATTCAATTATTATAAGTATTTTATAATTTCGAAAGATAAATGTGATAACATTTTTTCATATAAATTTATAATCAAAATTATCATGTATTGCAGTAAACAACCATTAGCGTCGAATATCAGCCATCATCCACCATATAAAATTATTTCTGCCACAGATTAATAAATAGTTTACCAAATTCTGCTGCGTTCTTCAAGCTGGAATCCTCCCCAACGATATCCTAAATTGTATTATGTTAATATTTAGTGACATGCGTGCTTCATTATATTTTTTTATTATTTCTAATCATATTAAACAACTTAAGCAAATTTTTATTACTTATTCAAATTGCAAAATAGAAATGGTGCATAATCTTTTATATTTTTAGTGAGTTTACGTCGTAATTTTTGGATATTTTAGATAGGTTAACGGCCTTTCATAAACAGATTTATAGTATTCACTACCATAAACACTATCTTAAGTTATACATTTTATTTGATATTAATACTTAGAAATATAAAACCTCGCCAGGTTATTAATATTTCTCGCTTTAGCTTAGTTGTTTATTTGCTCAATTAGGCAAATAATATTTCATATTTAATTTGCCTAATTGAGCAGACAGCAAAACAAATTATCATCATTATTACAGCCCTTCATAATCAAATAATAATAAGTACATACATACATATATCATGCACGGTATGGTATTAATGAGTACATTCTGAATACTCATATATAACATGGCTTGTGAACTATATCGTTAATTAGTTTTATCACAGAAGTCAATATTATTCCTTTTTGGAAGTTGTTTATACAAATCATTGAATATTTTATTAACTATATTAATTTCTTAAACACTTTTTTAAACTGATATGATGTGATATGATATGATATGCGGGCCGGAAATTCTTCAGCGATTTTATTCTGACGCTAGTATTTATTTAAAAAAAGAAACCCTTAGTATATTATTCAAGTTCAGAGCGCTCCTCTCGTCAGCTCAGCTAGCATCGGAATCCTAAAATAAGTCAAATTGGCATCTAAAAAGCTTGGCGTGCTTTCAAAAGCGGGACAGTATTTCATGCCGGCACACTGCTTACAACTTTACAAGGCGCAAGTTCGCCAAGTTCGGCAAGTAATTTTCTCATTTCTGGGCCTGGGCACCCCAGTGTCAGCCCCTTTTACTTGACCGCATACAACGCAGGACGGCTCGAACCGTAGACGATCGAGTTTTTTTTCTCATCGGCTTGTCTTACTGGCGCCGCATCTTTTTGCATATTCTATCGAATCACACACACACATACACACACACACACACACACACACACACACACACACACACACACACACACACACACACACACACACACACACACACGCATCTGCTACGGGGAGTGCTCCGAAGAATTGTTTGACCTAATTATACCATTTATACGTAGTAGCGCCATCCTGCAGCTATATTAATGGTATAGTTGTAGCACGAATGGATCGGCTCGACCGGGGTGGGACCACGCTCTAATAGAATTACAGCGTATAATAGCAGTTTAACGCTGCTGTGTTTCGTATGGTGGGTATAGAGAACCGGAGATCCTTTTTACTGGAAAACGGGCAATCTCACGGGTGACAACGCATTTGCATTTTGATTCGTAATCGAGGATAGATGTAGATGTCTATGGGTTGATGTAACCACTTACCATCAGGTGAACTGTGTGCTTGTTTATCACCCTTATGCTAAAAAAAAATATCTGGATGTTTGGCGGTCCGCCACTGTGAGATTTACTAGAAGTTTTCTTCCTCGCAGAACTTCGTTGTGGAATCGACAACCGCCAGCGTTCTTTTAGGACCGGCACGAATTAAATAACTTCAAAAAAGAGTCTATTCTCTTTTTAAAGGTTGGCAATGCATCTGCAATCCGGTGTGCAACATGTTGTTCATGGGCAGTGGTAGTCACTTACCACGTGGTGAGCTGCGTGCCAGTTTGCCTCATCTTAAACGAAAAAATGTACGTCTTTGAATTTAAGTTGACGTTTCGATGTAAATATTACTTTATTATCGTACGTTTTAAATTTATCGGACGCTAATTTTAATTTCATTGTTGTGAAATGTTACCACGAGGTGGCAACTTTCTATCACCCCCTTTCGTTGCGTTCGGAAGACGCGAAAGTGTATACGGAAAATATTAAAAATATTATAAATTGGTTTATTTTAAAAAGAAGTAACATTTAACACACTAGGATTTTCTCCTGTATCGTGAAAACAGCTTACATACATAAATTATACAAGAACAATCATCCAGATCGGGAAAAATTATTTTTAAGTCTTACAAACGCTGGCCGTGCGGGATTTGAACTCGTGAAACTAAACGCCGCAATTCATTGCTAAGCCACTGCGCCACGGATCTACGTTAATGCGATAGTTTAGGGCGATTTGATTTCATTTACGGTGAATTAAGATGGTTTATCGACGGCGATTGCCAAATCATTTGTCAGGCGTTTCGATTATCGTTTCGAAACACTTGTCTCGATTATGGCAAATCTTTTGAATAAATAGGATGTTTACATGATGATTATCTTATCATTGTTAACCCGTTAAGGGTTCCGTGATATTGTATGTGTTGTAAGAGGTGTCAGGGTGAAAAACTAGGATGTGGACAGCAACTCTTCCTAATGACAAATAAAATGTTTATATTCAGTAGTAGCACAATCTAACTACTACTACGTAGTACTATTATTTATTCTGTGCTACTAGTAACAGTCGGTCATCGAAGGCGCCTAGCCTGGGCAATCGTGCGGCGGGGTGAGGGGCGTGACGCGGGCGGATCACTCCCGAGCGGCTGTTAATCGCTCGGGAATTGTCCGCTAGGGTTTTCCTGTCAGGTAAAAAAATTAAATTGGTTACACTACATGTGCGGTAAAAAACTTTAGGTCGTCCTCATTTAAATATAAGAAATTAAAGTTACATCAGTTTCCACTAATAAAGGATTTTATTTTTAATGTGAAATAAAATAAAATCAGTTTTTTATTTTTTTTATTACTTCCCGTTCTGACAACCCTAACAATTTATGATTTATGTCGGCTTTTCCAACAATATCAAACGCGATGACTGTATGTTCTTCTTATGCTGTGGTAGTGGAGTTTTGATATGCTGTAACGGTAACGGTACTGGATTGAGGACCACAATACCAGATTGTATGCAGCTTCGATGACAAAATTAAGATAGTAATTAAGATTTTCCTATGATGGTCTTTTTCATCTTCATCAGTTCACAAAAGTGTACAACTGAAAAGGAACCCGCCTCTGTATAAGATGTATCTGCCGTAATTTCCAAGATTAGCAAGTTGTTTCGCGGTTGCAGTTGTGATCACGAGTTATAAAATGTTGGTCAGTTTGTATCGTATATTTTTTAAGCAATATAATATTTAAACATAAATTTATCATAAATTTTCTATTTGGTAAGTATAATGCTATGGCCAGTATTCTAAGATTTTATCAGATTTTTAAACGCTTTTCCTAAATAAGTAATTTTTAGACGTTAATGTTTTGTTTGAACTAGTCTAAAATTAGAAGGGTTTAGCTTCCCA